AACAGGAAGGCCACAAGCAATGTGTGTGTGTATGTGCATGTATATATATATATATATATTTAAACAGGAAGGCCACAAGCAGTGTGTGTGTGTGTGTGTGTGCATGTATATGTATGTGTATATATATATATATATATATTTAAACAGGAAGGCCACAAGCAATGCGTGTGTGTGTGCATGTATATGTATATATATATATATGTTTAAACAGGAAGGCCACAAGCAATGTATGTGTGTGTTGTGTGTGCATGTATATATATATATATATTTGTTTTTTTTTCTTTATCATGGCTTTATCTCTTAGAATGAAAAACAATCCTAGCATCTGCTTACAAATATAGGGTATTTATAAGAATTCTTTCTTAAACCTAAGATTCATCATAATCTTAGATTTCATATGAACTTTTATCAAGTTCAGGAATGATGCAGATTCTCCTCTTTTGGTTTTCCTATACTGAGCTGTAGATGTTGACTGGTGTGTCTGCTTGAAGTAGTTGAAGTTCTTGAAGAAATTAGGTTTATGTCTTTCCTGTAATGTACAAGTTATTAATATTTATTTTGTACAGCAGTTTTTGTTGAGAACAGACTAATTTTCTTGGAAAAAATTGTGTCATCATAGAAACATATAGACATTAAGGAGATTTAATTTTTTACATTATAGATACTCTTCATTTCTTATCCAATGAAATTGTTTTTGTCTGGAAATTTTTTTATTTGGATATTCTAGTTTAATGAAAAAGTTTGTATGGATGTTTTCTATTTAGGTATTCTAGTTTAATGAAGAAGTTTGTCTGAGCTTTAGTGGCAAAATTAAGAGATGAAATTAGACACACTGAACAGTACTCTTCACGCAGAGCCTTTGTTTTGAAATTATAAAGGTTGCAGTGTGCATTCTAGTTGTTATTTTAGTGATATATTCAACAGCTGAATGCCTTCAAAATATATGAGATATAATGAAAAATTCAAGATTTAAGCCAAAACATTTGCCAGAATAACAAACAACTGTGCTGCAAGTAGGGAATTTGGCATAAAAGAAAAACTCATCCATGATTGGTGAAAACAGGAACAAAGTATGCTGCTTGGGGACAAAAAAAACTCATTTCTGGCCTGAACTGGAAACAAACTACACGAAATGAGTTGATCTGATTGTAACAAGAAATCAGATTATGCTACAAGCCAAGACATGGACCAGGAAGAGAAATATTTCTGACTTTACTGCTCATCGGAGTGGATGTAGCTGTTTCATGAAGAGACACAACATAGTCCTACTACAGAAAACAATGCCTGTCCAATGATTGTAGAAGATGATTATCCCATGAAGGAGTGAGATGTCTACAACGATTGATAAGTCAAACTGACTTTAATGAACACAGAAAACGATGCCTGTCCAATGATTGTAGAAGATGATTATCCCATGAAGGAGTGAGATGTCTACAACGATTGATAAGTCAAACTGACTTTAATGAACTTTTTGTCAATTCAGATTCTGAAGACAAGCGCTTTGATGGATTTTAAATTTTATTGTCAAGTAAATAAATTTTATATGAACCTTTCTCTGTAAATATTCATTTGTCTTTAGAAATATATGTATAATGTATACTTTCAGTATAATTTTGGGGGATAGACTTATATGATTTATGTGCCATGATATACAATATTCAAGGAAAGTATTCATAAATAATTGGAATACAGAAGAACAAAGAGAAAACCTACATGAAATTATGCAACAAATTCCAAATAAAATTGATATAAGAATTAGTGAAGGTGATGTACAGGCTGTACATGGAGTACTAAATGTTAACAAAGAGAGAATGAAACCTGTAATAGTATATTTGAAGTCAAAAGTAATAAGATATTACTGGCTGACAGGAAGTAAAAAATGAAATTATAATATAAAGAGCATTGACATAGAATCAAAATTCAAAGGAAGTAAAATTTACTTGAATGAATATCTAACTCTCACTTTAAAATAATTGTACAAAGAAAAAAAATTAAAAAGATAGGATTTACACATTTTTGTGGGTTAGAGAAAAAGTAAAAGAATTTTTGTGTAACTATAAAATTATAAAAGATCGATTCGAGATAATTAAATGTGATTAAATAAAGTACTCGCAGACTTTCAACTTTTTAAGAGAGGCATGTATCTGCATTTATACGTGTTGTCCTTGTTATATATATATGTATGTATGTGTTAATTTGCTATAAAATGCTTATCAATACTGTAAGTGTAGCTACAAGTTTGGCTGCAATTTTTGATTGTTTAACTCACACGCTCGGACCTTTTTTTGGCTGCACTTTTTTTTTCACACTTAGATGTTTTTGATTAGATTGAATTGTTCTCACTGAAGGAATTGCAAGTCCTTTGTATGGAGTTTGTTGCACTCAAATTTGCAGGAATTTTGTTGTAACTTGATCTTTGTATGTTACACTAGTATTTCTTTACTTCAGTATGAGTATAAATTGATCAAAAACATCAAAAATCATGATGCTAAAAATTGCGAAATGGAAAAGTAACTTATCACAGAGAAATTCAGAAACTCTGAGAAAGAAAATTTAACATTGGAATGCAAGTTACATAAAAAAGAGCAAAAAAAAAGACTTGCTTACAAAGTTGTGAGGCAAGATCCAGTGAGAAGAAGCAAGTAACAAACCTGAAATACAGAAGCACATAAAATTTCTCACCAAGATACAGTTGTAAGAAGTCAGAAGCAATTTCATGATAGAAAAGCACACTGTTCAACTCACCAAGATCCTGACCGAACAGCTGCCCATTTAAAAGAAATTTGATTTATTGATAACAAATGCTGGCTGACTTACTGGTTAACTTACAGAAGCACTAACTATTAATGAATAATTTGATCAGTCTTCTCTTGATGAGGAACTATTCAATCATTAATACTTCACTCCACTAGCTGACTGCTTATTTAAAACTAAGGTGCCCATGTCTAGATATTAGTCACCGTGAACTTTGTAGTTATTCTAAGACAACTTTTATGAACCTAGTTCATCTTAATGTCACATACCTTTAGCCAACATCTGAATTAAAGCAATGAAAATATAACTTATAACGATATGTATGTGGATGTGAAAGGCTATATTTCTAAGTTGGTAAAGCATGATGCTTTCTTTTTAATTTAGGGATGAACTCAATGAGCCAAATGGCCATCTATTTCATTATCTTACTTCGTTTTTTCTTATTATCAACAGAATAGTTGGAAATGGTACTGATTTGTACATATTTTCTGTCTGTGTCATTGATGTTCAACCTATAACTACTTCTGCCATGTAATATTTTGCCTATTTTAGTTATTATCGACCTATACCTGCTCTGGATATGTAATATTTCATGTCTATTTTAGTTATTATCGACCTATACCTGCTCTGGATATGTAATATTTCATGTCTATTTTAGCGATTATCGACCTATACCTGCTCTGGATACATAATATTCTCTGGGTATTTTAGCGATTATCGACCTATACCTGCTCTGGATATATAATATTCTCTGGGTATTTTAGCGATTATCAACCTGTACCTGCTCTGGATATATAATATTCTCTGGGTATTTCAGTGATTATCGACCTATACCTGCTCTGGATATGTAATATTTCATATCTATTTTAGCGATTATCGACCTATATCGACCTATACCTGCTCTGGATACATAATATTCTCTGGGTATTTTAGTGATTATTGACCTATACCTGCACTGGATATGTAATATTTCATGTCTATTTTAGTTATTATCGACCTATACCTGCTCTGGATATGTAATATTTCATGTCTATTTTAGCGATTATCGACCTATACCTGCTCTGGATATGTAATATTTCATGTCTATTTTAGCGATTATCGACCTATACCTGCTCTGGATACATAATATTCTCTGGGTATTTTAGCGATTATCGACCTATACCTGCTCTGGATACATATGATCCTGGTATGCTTGATGAATCAGATTACAGTATGATGTCTGAAGGAGATAGGCGTGCTGCGGAAGAAGAACTTCGAAGAAGGGACCGTGAAGAAGGAAGACTCACTGGGCGAATGAGAAGAGGTCTTTTATATGGTAAGTAGTTTGTATTGTAGGTGGTGTATTAGTTTAATTTTTTATCATGGTTCGTGTTTTTTTGATTTACAAATAATATGTAGGCCAAGAATGGCATAATGGTTATCATACTGGACAATGTATCCTAGAGTTGATGGTTTGTATCACTTTGCTGCAACAGTATATTCACTTTGTGGACAAGGGTTTGTTAATCAGTAAGCTGCATCTGTTGATGAAAGCAATGAGAAACCACCTCAATTATATAACTAATATATGAGGAAAAGAAACAATTGTACATTTCACAAGTCTTTCATTTATTAGAACCATGGTCTCACCAGTAAAGGCCTTTATTTGCAAAACCATGATTGTGAAACATACAATTGTCTTTGTTTTCCTCAATTACATAACCTCAAATATTATTTTCCAGGACAGACAAAATGGCTTTTTGAATCATTGTATCTGCATGTGTTTGGTTTCAAGGATAGGATTTACATTTAAAAAAATGTATATTATATATATATGTATTTCTTTAGAACTGTGATAATTATCTACAATATAACTATTTTTGTAGATGAGTCAGATGATGACGATGAACGACCTGCTAGGAAAAGAAGATTAGCTGAACGTGCAGCTGAAGGGGCTATTCCTGAAGAGGAAGAAGTAAGTTAACATTATACTGTATATTTGGAGGGCTTTTGAGCCATTTAATCTTGTCGATATTTCATATACAGAGGTATTCACACCAAATAGAACAGTTCCTGTACTGTACTTGGGCCTACTTTTTCCATCTTCATTCATACTCATTCTGATGGCTATGATTTTGTACTGTCACCTGAAACTGCAATTTCCACTTTATCAAGCTTTACTGAAGTACAGGGAAGCCAATCTTAGACCACAAATCTTAACAAATTTTTTGCAGCCCTCCATTGTACATGGATATTGACTTCCAAGACAACATTTAAGCTGACTAACAGCAAAAGTCCACTGGAGCTGTATCATAGGACTTATCAGATACGTGGTCAAACATAGTAGCTGTGATTCCACTTTCTTTGGTTATTTTCCTCATGAAAACAGATGTTGATTTCAAGGTGTGGCTTGAAGATTATGACCTTTCTCAGCTTTAACATCTTGTTCATTATATTATTAATGATGAAAGGAGATATTCCCACCTTTATTGTAATATCTTATCTAGTTGAAGGGTTCTCTTTTTAAACTATATCCTTCATTTTGTAAATAAGGACATTTTTATTGATTGGTTTGAAGTGTGATTTTGGAACTTGTTCCCATTCTAAACACACTTGTTTGTGATTTTTCTAATAACTCTTTTTGTTAAAATATCGGGTCCTTTAGTTTTACATCATTAACAGTCTTTCTGCATGAATTTTTAACTTCAGGAAAGCTTTTTAGTTCTTCCAACAATAAGCCTACTGTGGTGACATTGCCCTGTTAGATGTTCGGGAATTTGCTGAGAACCAAACATATAGGCTTACTACACAAATCATTTTCTACTTCATGTATTTTATTTTCTAATTTTGGAAATTGTTCATTCAAGGGAATCAATGCTACTTGTGTACTTCACATAGAGTACTGTGCAAAAGTGTTAGGACAAAATAATATTTTGTCC